TGCAGAACAAAATAGTAAGAGCTTAGGCAGAATGAATGGCACAACTTTTATTATAGTGATAGTTCTTAACCTTTAGCATTACAGGGCCTTTGAGATTAATGAATTCTAAGAACTTCCTTACACAGGGAAATGCATAATGTACATAAACTCCTCAAAGTTTACAGTATTTCAGTGATTCATGAGTCCCATGGTTTTGATCCCACACTATAACAGAATAGTCTTTTTTTTCTGTAAAGCCCATCAAAAATGTCTAAAGGGCATCAAAATAATTGAGTTAAGGATAAAAGTAGCAGAAGTAGAGGAAACCTAAGCTAGAATCTGTAGTATAATACTTTTTTTATATGTTGCATTTTGAAGAAAAGGAGATTGCTTAAAGGTGAAAAGATAGAGTATTTGAGCTAGCTTTGGAGGTTAACATTCTTTTCTAAAATTGCCACTTTTGAAATTCAACAGAAAATAGGAAAGACAATAACTGAATATGTCTGTCCTGCAGAGTGCAGACATAATAAAGTCACATGCAGATGTCACATCTGTCACTTCTCTAACTCAGGATTGAGTTCCCTGGTGTAAGAGTTGATTAAATGTTTAATTCACTTCAGAGTCTAAGCAGCTAGGTGTTTACTTACTAATACAGAATATTAAAATAGGATGTAACTAACCTAAGCCAGAAATGCACAGGGTTAATGAAACTTTTACTCAAATATAACTACCATGAAAAAATTGATTAGCTTGTTGCAGTTCTTGCCAAAACTGGATGTTCATGTGGAGCCTATTCCTATTTTGATGGAATTTTGAAACACAGAAACCATTTTTTTACTTGTTTAGACCTAAGTCAACAGCACATCTGCAGGAAAATACCTTGTTTGTAGAAATATGCTCCAATACTGTTGGTTTCACTCAAAATGATTTATTTTACTTAATTTGTATAAATGCTATGAGTGGAGCGTGCACATGTTAAAAGCATCTTGCATTACATATAGTGTCACTTTTTAAATCTATAAATGTAAAACTAATACAACTGCAAAAATATTTTTCTTACAGTGTGTAGCAAAGTTCTCCACAGTAACTCACCCACACTTTGCAGTTTATGTGATCCAATCTTTTAAAAAATTTTTCCATAAATGTATATTTTTTATTATGTACCATTTCCTGGTCCAAAGAAAATATGTGAATTCAGTTCTAACTTTAAGAATGTACTTTTGTTTTCAAGTTCGTTGAAGAAATTGCATTCAGTCTGTGAATAGTTGCAGATTGTATGTGAGATGAAAAGTAGAAATTTCTAGTTTGCAAAACTGGTTCCACTAAATAAACAGGCAATTGCATAATGTGTGTGTTTATGATTGATTGATATTGCAAGGGATGATTTTGTTCTGACTAGACACATAGAATATTCTAAATCAGTTTTTAGGAGACGTTAAGAGAATTTTTTTCAACTCAACTTGGTTAATTTGCTCAAAAAGATAAATCAGTCACAATCCTAACTAGACTTGTCCCTTCCTAATTTTAGGAAGATTTCCGAAACTAGTAAATTTGGGTTAAATGATTAGTTTCATGAAAACATTCTAGAAATAAAGTAGCCATAAGTTTTTCCTCTTTGTTTTCTTCAGATGATATCTTTTTCTTTAAAGAGATGAGATTGGGAATTGGGAGGTATCTGGGAAAGGACTTTTCTCCACATAGGGTGCCTGCTTCCACGTAAACTCGGGTGTGGTGTGTGTGAGTGTGAATGCTTACTTCTTTTGTAATTCTGTTAAGTGGTTGTATTACCTTTTTCCTGTCTTCCATCTGCCTGAATAGACCTTACATAATTGGAGGGACTTTAGGGTATGTCGAACTGGTCATGTAAACGAAATTCTGTAAACTGCAAGCATTTATTTTGTTTGTTGTTAGTAACAATGAGGGATCCTAACCAAAGGCAGTAAGACTGAGACAAAAATTCATATGGCACATGTGTAACTAGAACAAGGGTTCACCTATCCAAGTATGTTGTACTTTTATTATCTTTTTAAATTATTTTTTTGAACATTGAAGGTAAGGGCTTTTTAAGTAAAAATGATTTTTCCCGTTGTTACTGAGAAACTCATACTGAGCTACTCTTCTTTTTTCTTTTTTCCTTGTTATCATTTAATAGCTCAGACCGAAATTCCCATCAAATCACAGGAATTTCGATTCTAGTTGGAAAGCCTGTTTGATGAACTACTGCAGAAAAATTTGATGTGCATGCCCTCTATAGGACGTTACCTGCCACAAGATCCATTTGCCAGAGAACAGTAAAAGATCTGTGCTCCGCTGCTGCCAGTTGTCTATAAAAAGATTGATATTTACTTGTCCTGATACCTTATATAGGGTGCCCTGGAGAATCTTAAGCTTTCTATAAGATGTGTGTTTTGAGTTAATTGTATTGTTACCTAAATGGTGGAGTAGCTGAACACTACAGGTGTGCCATTCACTGCTGTGGGTTAGATGTGGGCTTGGGTCTTCCAGACCAAAGCACTTTCTCTATGGCTTTCCTGATGATACAAGTTTTTTCCAGATGTTAATTTGAACCAGTGAAATTTGTAATATTTAATAATTTTTATCTACCAAAACGACAGTTTTATCTGGTTCAATCCAATCATTTCTAAAATCAGTTGTTCTTACATGATCAGATTGCAAGTCAGTACTTCTCTCATTTGTATTTCAAGTTAATCATGTCTCCTTAAAACAGACCCTTTGAACTGGGTAACAGTATGTGTGCATGTGTGTATGTGTTTGAACAATGTTGTAAGTAAGTCACCATTATAGACAAGGCCAAGTTTATAATTTCTACATTAAATTTAACAATGCTCTTATCTTAAGATAGCTTTTTAATTACTAACATATTCTTTGTCAGCCCTACTATTTAGGGAGTCCCTACAGATGCTATAGTATTAATTAGATCAACATGCTACTTAGACATTGTTATGAGAAATGTTATTCCAGCAGTAATCTCGTAAGGAAACAGTATTGAATTTAAGTATGCTTGGGTAGGATTTAAATAATAAAGATAGGAAAATGATTTTAAGGTTTTATTTTGAATTAAGTGAGGTGAGAGGAGAGTTCCTAACATTTATTAAGCGTGCTGAGATGTATGGATGCAACTCAGTCTGTAACAGTGCGGTAAGACTGAAGAAGTCTCTGAAAATCATTCTTTAAGTACAGTCTGTTAAAGCTGGATGAATGCTCTGTTCTAGGTGACAATCAGATTCTGACTTAGATTGTAGTGCCCTATTTTTATATTGTGCTATTTGTGTTTCTTTGGGTAATAGTAGACTGAATTTATCTTTTAAAATCAAAAGGTTTGCCAAGTTTGTAACTGGTGTAGGTCAGAAGGGTTGTGTTTACCTTGTGTTAGCATATGGTCCCCACTTACAGAATGTGTGTCTTCTAAATTCTCAGTATACAGTCTTGATGTGTATTTCATTGTACTTAACGAAGAAAATGTTTTTGCAGAGAGTCATCTTTCTAAGAAAAGCTTATTCCTAATTATTTTAACCTCTGAATTTTCAACTGCTCACAAAACTGAAAGGTTGTGTTTTTTAACTAAAAGTCTCCAGAACATCCCTAACACAATTAACTAAAATGTTCTAGTGATTGGATGTACTAGAAGCACATGGGAAGTGACTTTTTTAACTTGTTAAGCAAATAGAAGTCTTCATATAACTGGTATAAATTCAGTTTTTATCACTGTCTGCCTTTCCTGGTGTATTCTGACATTTTGCTACACTGATCCTCAATAAAATAGGGAGGAGTATTAGCATTTTATAAACGGCTTCTGTGCTTAGATCACAGATGTTCTTCCATAGTATTTACTTTTATATCTAATTCAGAGTGCCTGCCATGACTTTTTCCTTTATTTTGGTTTTAAATATGTAAGTTCCTAGGCAACATTCTGCTTTAGGACTTCCGTAAATATTTTGTAGAAAAGTTTGAGGTCACTGAATTCTATACATCCCTGCATACCATAAGGGATTGCTTGCCATGTGCTCTGTCCTGATTTTTGTAACATACAGGCTGAACTATTTGATGACAGTATGGTTATAAGTGTACTATATTTGCATGTGTAAATATCCTTGTTCAAGGGTGACTTCACAGTTCCTGTCACTAGTATTACTAATTCAACTTGACCTTCAAAAGCTTGCCACTTCACAGCCGGATGGATTGGCATCTGACAGGACCACAGTGTTGAGAAAAGCTTCATCTCAGGAGGAGCAGAGTTCCAAGAAGGAAGCTTCGGGAGTGCAAGTCTCTATAACTGAGATCATTTAGTTGGTTCTTCAAATCTGTTGGGATTGTCTTGATATTCTTAGTTTATTGGACTGAAATTCAAACACTATGTTCAAAAATCATTTGTTCAGGTATAAACAATTTGATTATGTGAAAATCATTGTCCTTTCTAACCTTGGAATAACGAAGTTTTAATGAAGTTGGCATTTTTCCTTTTTGGCAAGGGAGGAAGAAATGTGGTGGGGAAAAGATATACTAAAGGCAAGAAGAAGAGGTTGTTTGGAAAACCAAGGTATTTTGTGTGTGTGATTTTTTTTTTTAATTGTTTTTCTGAAATTTAAAATGAAATTAATCCTTATATTTCATAGTAGTCAATAATGCATCACTGGTTGGTAGATTAGTATAAAGTCTCTTTTCTCACCCTTATGTCCCTGCAAAAGCCCTGTTTTAGGGGGGAAAGGGAATGATCCCATTTTAATTGTCAACTCTCACTTGTAGTTTGATTAGGGAAGCAATTAAAATGATATCTAAAATAAGGATTACAGATTTTCTTTCTATTATCTGCTCCCTGAATTCTCTGAAGCAGTGGTTCTTAGCCTACTGACAAGATAGAATGAGCTGGGAAGCTTAACAAACCATCATCACTGGAGGTTAAGTTGGAAGGTTCACATTGAAAGTTACCCTCACCCCAGTGAAAACCTGCCTCCTCCCTTACCCTTCCGCGGAGTTTCTATTGAATTCCTTGCAATGGCTCCTGTTTCCCTCAGAAAAAAGCAAAGTTCTTACAGTGACCTACAAGGCCACCTATATGATCTGGTCCCTGTGACTTACCTCTGGGACTCACATCTCTGCTTTGGCCACACTGGTCTCCTGGCTGTCCTCAGAACATACCTGTCTCACTCAAACCCAGAGTCTTGCAGGTACCTTACTTTGGCTGTTCCCTCTCCTTGGATTGTTGCACTGGCCAAAGCAAGTCACATCTAACTTCAAGAGGACCTGAAAGGAACAAATCAGAATATTTGTGAACAATCAACTGTCAGGGGTCCAAATATATGTGATATCTGAATAAGCTTGTGCATGTGTGTGTGTGCCTTGCAGGAAAATGTGACTGATGTCATTATACTCCAGGAAACTTATTCTGTGAACTGTGAGTTTGAGACAGATGAGTGCTGATAGCACAAAGGTTGATTGAGACCACACGGCTGATCTCATATTGTAAGTGCTCATAATTATTAAAAATAAAAGGTTGTTCTTGCATCTTTGGCATGAAGTAGAATACCCAGCAGGAAGGGTAAAGTAAGATTTGCATAGGCAAAGCCAAGTAAGAGTTTTCTAAGCAGAGGATGTAGGTGAGCAAAGGAAAAGAAGTATCTGGTAGGGAAGCATGCTGAGGCCACCCAGGATGTTGGTCTTAGCAGAAACTTCCTGTTCAGACCCCCTAAGACACTGAGAAGTGTAGATAATGGCTCATCCCTAATTCAGTGCTTTTATGTCCCTTGCTTCTTAAAAAGCGCTTTCACTATATAGACACACAAAGTAGGAATAAGCATTGCTTATCTCAAATCAGCTTTACTCTCAAATCCAATGACATTTCAGTAACACATTGGAAGACTTGTCCTCCCCTTCTTAAACTACCCAGTGCAGTGCTGTACCAAACCTAATAGTCTTTAAATAATTTTTGGCTAATTGTTCTATAGGAATATTTATCTGTTATGTCCTCTACCCATCTGGAATGTTCTGGATCCTCTAGAAGAAATGTGGGCTTTAGGGAGCCTCAGCTGTGGATCCACATAAAAGACACCCTCCAACTTGAACTGAGCCCCGCTTAGCTGGTCTGGCTAGCACCTGGCCAGCCCCCGCCGGAGCCGTGGTTTAATTTGAACTGTGCACTTTGAGTGTGTGGGAACAGAGAGGCAGGGGCCACGTGAAATGTTATTTGAGGTTTCCTGTTTGCTCTAGCTCTGCTGCTGCTGCTGCTGCTGCTGCTGCTGCTGCTGCCACCGCCACCACCCACTCCATTCCAAAACAAGTTTCATTCAGAAGGTGGAGTTAAAGCTAAAGGTAGTCAAGCATTTGATAGTTGATCACTTTCCAAGTTTTTATAAGGCATTTCATAATTAAACACATTATGAAACAGGCTGCAATTTATCAACAACTTATTTCTGATGTGGCTATTTTAAGATGTATAATTATTATGTGAATTTTTTGAGCGACTTCTAAAGGTATTACCCAAATCCGTTCATTGTGAATATGGTAATAATCTATTTTTCTTCTTTGTAAATATTTTTTTAGAGTAGAAATCCTCTATATGAATAGCAAGCAAAAAGGAAAACCCAACAGCATGGGCTCTTCGCACTCACTGGATACTTCATCTTCCTGCTGCTTCAGTTGTTCTGCCCAGTGTTGCTGGAGAGAATCATTAACCAATATTAAACCAACACCCACTGTCACTAAGTCTGTAATATGCTACAGCTGCCCCGTCAGCAGGCTCCTGACCCCACCTACACAGGCAGTTGGAGTTCAGCCTTTGAGACTCGCTGGGCAGTTCACCTGAGGTCTGTGCTGTCTCGGCTACATTCTATTGTGTACCTTGGGGCCCCAGTTTCATCTTCTCTGGGTAATAATTCCTCATCTCTCTCACTAAACACAAGTTATGCTTTTTTTTTTTTTTTTTCATTGATGTATCATTGGTTTAAAATGCTACCTAGGTTTCAGGACTACAGCTTCACATCTTGATAAATGAGTATATCAATACACCCACCACCAGTTCTAGTACCACTCACCTCTATCTACTTGGCCCCCTAAGATCCTTCCACTGCTTTCCCCTCCCCATCAGGTAACCACCACTTTCTCGTCAGGGTCTATGGCTTTGCTTTGTTTTTTTATATTCCATATATAAATGGAATTGTCCATTATTTGTCTTTCTCTTTCTGACCTACTTTGGTTAACATAATCGCCTCCAGTCCGTCATGTTGGTGGGACTATAAATGGTGCAGCCTCTGTAGGAACAGTATGGAGGTTCCTCAAAAAATTAAAAATAGAACTATCTTATGATTCAGCAATTCCACTTCTAAGTATCTACCTAAAGAATATGAAAACAGGGCCTCCCTGGTGGTGCAGCGGTTGAGCGCTGTGTGGTGAAGCTGCCTGTAGCCTCTGCAGCGCCGGTTCGATCCCCAGCCACTGGGTGAGGGTCCCACATGGTGCGCAGACCTCTCCTATCGCCCGCTGCTCCCTTCAGCAGTGTACTTCATCAGTCGGCCTGCTCTGCTCTCCCCTCTGGCTCTGGTGAATTCCCTCACCCTCCCGCACTTCCGACTGTACCCAGTGCTTGTATAAATAAATAATCTTTAAAAAAAAAATATATGGGGCCTCCCCCGTGGCGCAGCGGTTGAGCGCTGGGTTGCGAAGCTGCCCGCAGCCTCTGCAGCACTGGTTCGATCCCTGGCTGCTCCCCGGCCACCAGAGGAGGGTCCCACATGGCGCGCAGACCTCTCCTGCCGCCCGCTGCTCCCCTCAGCAGTGTACTTCGGTCCTTCTGCCTGCTCTGCTCCCCGCTCTGGCTCTGGTGAATTCTCTCACCCTCCCGCTCTTCTAACTGTACCTAGTGCTTGTATAAATAAATAAATAAATCTTAAAAAAATATATATATGAAAACACTGGAAAAGACATGTATCTCTATGAGCATCTCTTTGAGGTGGTTCTGGGAGTGCCCACGTGAATTTTATATTTGCCACAGAGACTATATTTTAAGTTAGATACCTTAACCCTCCAGATTTGATGAGTTTCCAATCATTTTCTTATAATGTAGGGAAAATACAAAAAAGCAAATAGGCATTCTAATGTGTATGAATTATTGTATATTTAGGACTAGTAATAATTAAAATATGCTAGATTTATCCCCCACCATAATTTAACCTGTATCCAAAAAAAAATTTCAAATTGAAAAAAAATTTTTTTCAAACACGTTTATCAAGATTAAGCACTTGAATTAACTTCTTTGGGAAGATGTCACCAACTTTACCAATCTTTTGACTTTTTTTTCTTGTGGTAAAATATACATAAAATTCACCATTTTAACAACAAAACTCGATGACACTAAGTATTTTTACAGTATTGTTTCACCATCATCACAATTTCCAGAATTTTTTCATTATCCCAAACAGAATTTCTGTGTGCATTAAGCAGTAACTCACTACCCCTCACACTTGGACCTCTCTGTTCTACTTTTTATTTCAAGAAATTTGCCTATTCTAGATATTTCATGTAAGTGAAATCATATACTATTTACCCTTTTGTCTGGCTTATTTCACTTAGCATAATGTTCTCAAGGTTCATCCATATTGTAACATGTATTACTTATTCCCTAAAATGCTGATCTGTCCATAAATGTAAGTGGAATGTTAAATTCCCTATTATTTTCCTGTCATCATCTCTCTTTAATTCTACTAGTAATTGTCTTATGTATCTTGGTGCTCCATCATTCATTGCATATATGTTATTTTTCTCTTGTATTAGGCCCTTAATCATAATGTAATGTCCATCTCTATCAAATTATTACCATTTTTAATAATTTTTTAAAAAGATTTATTTGTTTGTTTGTTTATACATACAAGCACTGGGTACAGTCAGAAGTGCGGGAGGGTGAGAGGATTCACCAGAGCCAGAGCGGGGAGCAGAGCAGGCAGAAGGACCAAGGTACACTGCTGAGGGGAGCAGCGGGCGGCAGGAGAGGTCTGCGCGCCATGCGGGACCCTCCTCTGGTGGCCGGGGAGCAGCCGGGGATCGAGCCAGGGATCAAACCAGCGCCGCATAGGATGTGGGCAGCTTTGCAACCCAGTGCTCAACTGCTGCGCCACTGGGGAGGCCCTTATTACCATTTTTAATTGGGAGTCTATTTAATCTGATACAAATATAGCAGCTCCTGACTTTTTTGCCCTGTCATTTTTTTAAAGGTTTATTTTTATTTATTTATGGGGTGTAGGCCAGAGGTGTGGGAGGTGAGAGGATTCACTAGAGACAGAGTGGGGAGCAGAACAGGTGAATCTACTGAATTATGCTGCTAAGGGGAGCAATGGGTGAGACAGAAGTCTCCTGTGCCATGTGGGTTAGCTCCCTGGCCACAGTGGCTGGTGATAGCTTGATAGCACCAAGACTCTCACCCCTGGTGCCACCAGGGAGGCCCATGATTGTCATTTATTTATTTGTAGGATAGTCCTCCTACCTTTAATTTTGTGTTTGTCTTTGCTGCTGAGTTTTTATAAATAACTTAGGTGACTGTACCTCTATTTGTTGTTCTGTTGCTTTACAAAAACCTCATTAGTACTTCTATCATGGACAGCTTGGTTTTGATAAATACCTTTAGTTTTAAATTGTTAATGAAGCTCCTTATCCTTCCTCTATCTTGAACATTATAATCATGCAGGGTAAAGGATACTATCCTTCCTCAATATAATCATGCTGGAAATCTTACTTTGAGGACTTTAAGTATTTCCTGACATTCCCTCCTTGGCTGTAGTGTTTCTACTGAAAGGTTCACTGCAGTTTAATTGGTGTTCCCTCATGGGTTACACTTTTTTTCTTCATGTTTTCAGTATTCTGTCTTTGCTATTAGTTTTCAACCGTTTCCTTATGTCTTGTGATCTGTCTGGTATTACTTTGTTTGGGACTCTTGGTCTTTTTTTTTTTTTAAAGATTTATTTATTTATGCATACAAGAGCTGGGGTACAGGCCAGAGATGTGGGGGTGAGAGGACTCACCAATGTGGGGAACAGGCAGACTGACAAATACACTCCTGAGGAGAGCAGCGGGGTGAGACAGGAGAGGTCTGCTGCGCCATGTGGGTTTCTCTCTGGCTGGCCGGGGTTTGAACTTGTGCTGCAGAGGCTGTGGATAGCTTCATAGTGCTGTGCTTAACCCCTTGCGCCACCAGGGAGACCCTGAGACTCTTGGTCTTGTTTCCTTGCTAAAATGGTTCTCAACAATTATATATTTAA